TGTGTTTTTTGGCTGGTGCAGTGGAGGAAAGGGCTCCAGAAGATTTATGAACCTTGAGAACCAGCCCTTAACTTTATTTTTTTTAATTTATAATTTTTGCAGTGCTGGGGATTGAACTCGGCAAGTGCTTTACCAATAAGCTACATCCTCTGGCTGTACTTAATTTAATAAGAAATTGCCAATTCTGAACACTGTGATGTAAACTTGTAATCACAGCACTTCCTGAGGCTGAGACAGGATGATTGCGAGTCTGAGGCCAGCCTCAGCAATTAGCAAGGCCCTAAGCAACTTAATGAGACCCTGCCTCAAAAATAAAAAGGACTGGGGATGTAGCTCAGTGGTAAAGTACCCCTGTTTTAACTCCCAGTACCAAAAAATAAATAAATAAATAATAAATAATCCCAGTTACTTGGGAGGCTAAGACATGAGGATGACAAGTTCAAGGCCAATTGTGGCAGCTTAAAGAGACCCTATCTCAGGAAAAAAACATCCCCCCCCATACATAAGGGGCTGGGGATGTAGTTCATTGATAGAATGTTCATGAGTTCAATCCCCAATACCAAAAACAAAACAAAACAAAACAAAAAACCCCTGCTAAGTTAGTTCCCAAAGCATCTGTTTCATTTTTTTATCCCCACTGCCTTGTCAGTACTTGTTGGTATTGTTAGGGTGTCTATGTATGTTTTTCATTTTTACAAGTGTTTAGTGTTATCTAATTGTGATTTTAATTCTTATTTTCTTGAAGAAAATGATACTGAGCATCTTTTCATTTTATTGCCCATCTTTGTTTCTTTTGTTAAGTGCTGGTTCAAATTTTTGGAAGGCATGACTTTGAAGATTGTATAGGAGTTTCATATCCAGGTGATAGGAAGGAATACTGCTGGGCAAGTTATTTAACCTCTTGTACCTTAGTTTTCCCATCCTCAAAAGATAATATAAGTCTCCTTACCTTAAATAATTGTTCTAATGATTAAACTGGAATAGTAAAAGCCTTGGCACACGCCCACAATTAAATTTCTTAGGCTAGTGCCTGGTACAAAGTAAATACTGAGTATTTATTAACTATTATGGTTAGCAGTGCTTTGGGCAAATCTCTTTTGTTCAATCTTTCTTTTCTTTTCTTTCTTTCTTTTTTTTTTTTTTTTAGTGCTTCTACCACTGAGCTACCTCTAGTCTAGTTGCTTTCTCTTAAAAGAAAGATAAAAGCAGCAGCTGGGCGCAGTGGTGCTCCTGTATTCTCAGCTGCTCTGGAGGTTGAAGCAGGAGGATATCAAGTTCAAGGCCAGCTTTGGCCATTTTGGGGGGGGACTTTGTCTCAAAATGAAAATAAAAAGAGGTCAGTGGTAGAGTACCCCTGGGTTCAATTTTCAGTACTGAAAAATAAATAAATAGATAAATGGGTGGTGGTGCTGGAAATATGGTATAGCACAGTGGTAGAGTGCTTCTTAGCTTGTACAGGTTCCTAGATTTGATCTCTTGCACTGCAAAATAAAGATGAAAGCTACTTGACCTAACTCAAATGGACTGTTGGGTTGTTGATTAATTAAACTTTGAAGCAGTAGGAAATTAAGATACTATTAAAGTAAACTACTTATTGAATACATTCTAAATAATTTCATTTGGTGGTTAATCCATACATGACTGAGAAGATAATAATGTATCATAAAATAATATGAAAGCAAATAAAACCAGATGCAAATGACTTTTAATTTATCCTCAATTTTGGATAGCCTGCTATTTCTATTAGTTCAAATAAGAAAAAAATATTAAACTTTTATAAATATAAACTTTTATATTACAGTACAAATATACATTTAATTTTTGGATATCTCAAAGGGTGGGCTTTAATATTAGTTACACGATGAGCTGTCAAGTACAGTGGGTATGGACTTTATGATTTTATGGGCTAGACCCTGCATTGGTCTTTGGTGATGCATCAGTGAAGGAGATCCACAAAATTCTTGTCCTCTTGACCCTTCTGAAATACAGATTTTTTAAATATTTATTTTTTAGTTGTAGTTCAACACATTATCTTTATTCTATTTATTTATTTATATGTGGTGCTGAGGATTGAAACCAGGGCCTTGCACGTGCTAGGCAAGTGCTCTACCTCTGAGCCACAACCCCAGCCCCTGAAATATATATTTGATGGTGAAGAATTTAATGTACTCATAAAGAAACCAAAGGCTTTTTTGCTCACCTTTTATAATAGTAACAACTCATCTTATTGAGTGTTTCTACAATGCAGGAAAGTATTGTAGAAAAGTCTTTATGTGATTACTTTTGAAGCATTCCATGCTGATAGGTCAGTAGCATTCTGATCAATGTTAAAGTCCATGTAAGCACTTTACTCTGTTTTCATCCACACATATGGCCAGTGGCACAAAGTAGAAACTAAATACAAAGTTGCTGAATGTATAAATGAATGACTGCTTTTATGGGTAAAAGTTGGTTGTTTTGGAGCTGGGGTTGTTGCTCAGTGGTAGAGCACTTGCCTGGCATGTGTGAGGCCCTGGGTTTGATCCTCAGCACCATTTATAAACAAATACATACATAAATAAAATAAAGGTCTATTGACAACTAAAAAAAATAACAACAAAAAAAGTTGGTTGTTTTAATGTAAAATTCATCCAAGAAGAAGAGATGCTTATTAGAAACAGAGCTTTGCAGTTGGGTAAATACCTTTAAGTGTTAGTCTCCATAGATACATTTTAGCAAAATTCCAGGGTTCACCAGGCACTGGGGAGTGATTTATACTCCCCAAACTTATTTTTAAGTCTGACATTCTCAATTATTAAATTACAGGAAATGGGGGCAAATCATCTGCATATCCCTGCTACTGGGCAATTCTATCCATGGAGACCAAATTAAAGATCAGTGGGTTTGCTGGTTGGACAAATAAGGATTTCCCTGTAGAAAGAAATGATATGCAATTTATTTCTGACCTTTTAAACAATTTTTAGGGATTGCCGGATGCTGCGCCAAAACAACGGTTGCTCCTTTGGATCGAGTAAAAGTTTTATTACAAGCTCACAATCACCATTACAAGCATTTAGGTAAGTTAATAGATTATAAAAATGAAAGTGAAATAAAAAAATTATCCATCTGCTTGCTGGTTTCCCATTATAAATTATAATGGAAAGAGGTAGAAAAGGGAATTCAAATTTGGTGGTAAATATAAGTTATATGTCTCTTATTCATTTTAATCTGTTCATTTGTAATAGTGGTTATATGTATTTATCATTTTAGGGTACTGATATTTTCCAAGCCAAAATCTTGGAATCATGGAAGTAAGTACAATTTTTATTGGGATCAATGAGTTACATACTTCACAGATACACATAATAACTCGGCCTGATTTTTTAATTCAATGAGTGGAGATACAATTTTTAATAAGTATAAAACTGAAATAATAACTCCTTTAAATACTTAAATAGGCCAGGATTAGGGGGGCTAGTGGTGCACACCTGTAATCCCAGCTACTCAGAAGATCTGAGGCTGGAGGATTACAAGTTCAAAGCAGTTTACAGAGACCCTGTCTCAAAATAAAATAAAAAAGACTGAGGATGTAACTTAGTGGTAGAGCACTTTCCTAGCATGTGTAAAGCCCCGGATTTAATCCCCAGGACTATAGGGAGAAAACAATGAAATAAGCCTTCTAGAAATATTAGAATTTCTAGAACTTTTCCAATATTACAAGTAGAATTTATTGTAATTAGTTTCAGATGAACTTGATTTCTTAAGAAAATATCAAGACTTTAGATATTCCTCACAAATGTAAAATTCAGTCTTCTTCTTTTTTTGGGGGGGGCGGGGCTTGCAGGGAATACCAGGGATGAACTTGAGCACTAGGCCACTGAGCCACATCCCCAGCCCTATTTTGTATTTTATTTAGAGATAGGATTTCACTGAGTTGCTAAGTTCCTGCCTTTTGCTGAGGCTGGTTTTGAACGATCCTCTTGCCTCAATCTCTTGAGTTACTGGGGATTACAGGCATGGGTCACCGTGTGTTCAGCTCTTTTAAAATTTTGTGACAGTTTCCCTAAACTGCCCAGGCTGGCTTTATACTTTTTTTTTTTCCATTTTATTTTTGAGGTACTAAGGATTGAACCCAGGGCACTGAACTACGTTTTCTGTCCTTTTTGTTTTGTTTTGAAATAGGGTCTGGCTAAATTGCCTAAGCTGGTTTGTATTTATGATTCTCTTGCCTCAGCCTCCTGAGATGCTGGAATAACAGACATATACTACCATACTTAGCCCAATATGTATAATTTTTATTTTTATGTATTAGTTTTAAAAATGAAAAAGAAAGATGATAATGGAACTGAAACTGGTGAGTGACATGGAAACATCATAAGTACGATACATTACTCAAGTGTTTATGGTAATGCTGCTGTAACTGCCTATTGTAGAAAATCATAACATCTACAATTATGTACAGTGTATTAAATTTTTTTTTAAAGAGAGAGAGAGAGAGAGAGAATTTTTAATATTTATTTTTTAGTTCTCAGCGGACACAACATCTTTTGTTGGTATGTGGTGCTGAGGATCGAACCCGGGCCGCACGCATGCCAGGCGAGCGCGCTACCGCTTGAGCCACATCCCCAGCCCTTAAAATTTGATTGTTATAATAAATGATCAAATTATTGGTTTTTGAAAAGCACTGTTATTGTTATTATTTGCAGTGCTAGGGATTGAACCCAGTTGAGCTCTGATACTGAGCTACATCCTCATCCCCAGACCCTGATATATATATAATTTTTTTTTTTTTTGGTACTGGGGAATCTAGGAGTGCTTTACCATTGAATTAGATTCCCAGCCTTTTAAATTTATTTATTTATTATTATTATTATTATTATTATTTGTGGTGCTGGGGATTGAAGTTAGGGGCCTGTGCATGTGAGGCAAGCATTTGACCAACTGAACTGAACTATATCCCAACCCTTTTTATTTATTATTTTTTTTTGGTACTGAGGATTGAACCCATGGGTGATGAGTCACATTTTCAGCCATTTTTATTTTTTATTTTGAGACAGGGTCTTACTAAGTTGCTTAGGGTCTCAGTGATTTGTTGAGGCTAGCCTTGAACTTGAGATCCTATTGACTCAGGCCTCAAATTGCTGGGATTACAGGCCTGTGCCACCATGCCCTGTCCCTTTTTTTATTATTCCTATTTTAAAAATATTTTTTAGTAATTATTTGTATGTGGTACTGAGGATTGAACCCAGTGCCTCACACATGCTAGGCAAGTGCTCTGCCACTGAGCCTCAACCCTAGTCCCTATTTTTTAATTTTGAGATAAGTCTCACTCAGTTGCTTATGGCCTTGCCAAATTGCTGAGGCCCAGTCCCTGATTTTAAATATTGATACAGGGTTAGCCTTCAATTTGATTTTCTCCTGCCTCAGCCTTTTGAGTAACTAAGATAACAGGTGTGTACATCATGTCTGATTTCAAAAAAAAGCATTATTTATATATTTTTAAAAAATTCTAAACAATCCAGAATGTTTCAGAATAGGGAATTGGCAAAATAAGTTTTGGTTTATTCATGTTATAGACTGTTTTGCCCTCAGAAAAAATTTATTAAAGCCAGGTATGGTGTTGCACACGTGTAATACCAGTGGCTGTGAGGCTGAGGCAGGAGAATGGCGAATTCAAAGCTAGCCTCATCACCTTAGAGAGACCCTGTCTCAAAATAAAAAATAAAAAGGGCTGGAGATGTGGCTCGGTGGTTAAGTGACCCTGGGTTTAATATCTAATTAAAAAAAATTATGAAAGAATACTAGATGGGTACATTGGTACATGCCTATAATCCAAGTTATTTGGAGACTCAGACAGGGCTTCCCAAGTCATGAAATTGAGACCAGCTTGGACAATATAAAGTAATACTCCATCTCAAGTATGGCGCTGTAGCTCAGTGGCAGAGCGCTTGCCTGGTATGTGCGAGGCACTGGGTTCGATCCTTAGCACCATAAGAAAATAAACAAATAAAATAAAGCCATACTCTCTGTCTACAACTAC